CGCCTGTATGCATTCCTTCAACTGTGGAGTATATTAGTATTTCTGTGTATGTCTTGCAAAGGTTCATGATTTATTTTACTGTGATTAACTTTGCAGGCATAAAACCTGCTCGCAAGGTTTTAAGGCTGAAATTATTACCCATTCTGTCACAAGTTTAATTATGTTGTAGGCATTGGATACGGTAGACCTATAGAAATAGTTTTTGCAGCTGTATAAGATAGAACCCTATGCATCATCTTTAACTACCGGTACAATAGGTGGAAAATTATCTGATCAAAATGCCTCACTTTAGCCTAATTTTAAAAAAAAATGTTTGTTGGAAGCCCACCATCCTAAACACCATCCCCACTGTAAAACATGTTGGTGGCAGCATCATGCTGTGGGGATGCTGTGCTTGAATAGAGAAAAGGAAGATGCTTCAAGATGGATAGAGTTATACACAGGGAAATTCTTGAGGGAAAAAAATAGGTGGCTGAACACTTTAGACTGGAAATGAAGTTTTCCCTCCTTACAGTGCCGTATCATAGTGCCATATCAATCTTTTAGAATGGTCCTGACCCAAATATAACTGAGGATCTCTGTCTACATTTCTTTTATAGATGCGCAGAATTGATCTGGATCACTTTATGAGGAGGACTGGGCCTAATCCTCAGTCTCGAGGTGTATGAAGCTATTATAGATGTAATCTACTTGACTTTCAGCTGTGATTGGTTTAAAAAGTGATATCATGAAAGCCACCGCACAACAATACGCTGCTTCATTTCTATTTATCATAAAAGCTCTCCATCAAAACACCGTAGGTTGCGTTTGAAATAGGGAGAAAGTGTTCAAAGGTTGCAAAAACTTTTTATGCTTTACCATCATAACATGCTTTATTTTATATTTTTGCAAAAATAAATGGGATTTGTTTTTGGTTTTCTTTAGCTGTATAAACATAATATTCTTTTTTACATTTACTCAGAAATGAAAATAGTTATTTTCTTTTTAAAGAATGCAAACATTTTTTAAAAGGTTCTCACCCTTTTTTTTAAAAAAAAAAGAGGGTTATAAAATCAACATTAAATAAGGTTCCCAGATTTAATAACATAACATAATATGATTCAAAAGATGCACACAAGTTTTACTTTTCTATTTCTTTTTAAGGTGTCTACTTGTCTGGGCTCTTTACAAATCAAATTTTTGGTTACCACTAACTCACACATTATTAAATGACAACACCTTCTTGTGATCTTAATTCACCCTTGTTGACTCATGCACACGAGTGCAGGTGGGATTAATATACCCATCATATCTGTTGGTGCTGAAGGCTGCTGTCAGAGGGAGAAGGTCTCTTTTTATGATCATTCCTACAGTGTCTGCGCTAGATGGGCGGCGTGAGGCGATGTCAGCTAAAACAGAAGGCGGTCAAGTTGCTTGGATCCTCTAAAGGCTATTTGCAGATGGTTGTGGAGGTTTATGATGTGTTGAGGTTAGTAGGCGAGATACACCTTAGATATGCTGTTTGTTTAATTTAGATTTTGATGTATTACCTAATGACTTATGTTCATGACTGGGGTGGAAAATTAATTAACATATCTCAAAAACAGAGCTCTTATTTGCAGATTAATGCTTCTGACTTTTCAGAATAAAGGTTATTATACCTTCAGATTTTCCATTCAGAATTAACCTTCATGAAGGAAGTTTGCACAACCTACACCTTAATTGATTTGTACTCTGAACTGCAACACAAAGTCATTAGATTAGCATTATTAACACTTACATGCATGTTAGTTTGTACACTTGTGTGTGTAAATATGCACCTGCATGCATTTGTGTGTTTTGCTGTGTTGGAAAATGGGCTGGTGAGGAGGTGAAGCATGAAAACGACAGTAAACAGTGACCACAATCAGCCATAAAGCTCTGCTCCCATTACGTGGCTGTTTTACCTCTCGGTTTTACTGTGAGAAAAGCAGAGATAAGACCTAGAAGACAAATTGGAGAGCTAATTGATAATAAGGCAGTTTTGAGGAGGAAAAGGCAGTTTTTGTCGGAGAGCAGTGTGGGAGTGGAGGCGTTTAGGGGTCTCCCTGCAGAAGAACTGGGACATGGGAATAGAGACTCGACCTAATGAAGCGTGGCTGCCCCTCGCTGACTTCACTGCCTTGTGACAGAGGGCGAAGAGATTAGAAGGAAGGCTCGGATCAGAACCGTCACCTATTCTCAAACAGTTAGAGGTCGAACCAGGTAGAGGAGAAAATAACTAACATACAAAACACAAAAGAACTGAAAAATATTAGTAAAGTTCCTAAATCTCCTGTTGGAGAATTCATACACACAACCAAACATATGCCCAATTTTACCAGCTAAAAAGAACATTAGAAACTTAAACAGCTAAAAATAATAATCATCCATAAATTGATCTGAATAGAAATATGAAACTGAATCTTTGAAAAATTGCAGGTTTACTTGGTTTAAGGTTGTTGATCTGCTATGCCGACAGATGATGGCAGACCAGGTTACATTCTCCACACCATCTCCCATGATAGACATAGTGTTTAATCTATTCCTTTTTCTCCTGAAATCGTCTCCCTTGTTTTATTCACATTCAAGATGAGTTCATTTTTGTTCCCCAACATGATGCAAAGCCATCCATCCATCAGCCCTCCGTTATCAGCTTCTTCTACTCCTCTGACACTCTGCGATAGAAGTCACATCTAAGTATCTAAAGATAGATGAGGCTCAGCCTGTGTTTTCTTGACTATTCTCCTTATAACAGTAACCACATCTTAAACTGCCAGTCTATCATTCAAACTCATGCTGTACAGTGAATTTTCCTTTAAGCGCTCATTCTTAGACTTCATAAGGAAGGGAACTGCTCCCTATTGATTTTGGATGCAGTAAAGCAAATAAATAAAAAATACCTTGGAGCTACTGATATACAAGCTTTTTTCTCTAATTGTGCCTTACAGGTTACGCCACTCTGCATCGAGCCACATTTCTCAGTAAGAGCAAAATGAAAATGTTACCAGATGAATTCTTTCCATACGGAAACTAACGTTGTACTTTTTAATTCGTAGTTTCATACAAGCATCCATGACATGCTGTCACATGCTCCGATGTTTTGCTACTAAAAAAAAAAAAAAAATCCCTTGCATGTCCCCATTTGTTGTCGCTTTGCAAACGAACTAACCCTGTCATTATACTGTCATCCTTGGAGTATTGCATCATCAGTCTGTCAGCATCAAGCAACCCTGGAATAGAAGGGTTGCACAACGTTGTCATCATAAAACGCTTTCTGGAAGTGGTTCTCTCCACTTCAGTCAACCTGCGCTCTTATTCCGATGGAGACCTGCCCAGGAAATCAGAACCCAGTCTGAGTGTAGCTCTTAGAATAGAACGAGGGGAGAAAATAAGGAAGGGTTGCCTGCTTTACCTCAGCTGTTTGTGGAAATATTTCCTGTTTGGTTTTGGTACCCAGATGTACTTTCCTCATTCAGTTCTGCGGCCCTCAATCCTCTTAGCCTAAATCATGAGAGGAAGCAGGTGACTGTGGGCTTGTGTAGACCTGTGTGCGTGACAGTTGGAGTGTACGAGCAGGAAATGATTGGTTTATAAACAATTCATAACGATCTCTATGTAGTTTCTCTTTTTGATTTTTTTTGTCCCGTTGAGCTTACTTTGTTAGTCCTTGTTTTAATTAAAATAAAATCCAAAATTCCTGATATAACTCTAGAAATGATAACATTCTCAATGCAATATTATCCAATACACATACAATACATTGTTTGGTTGCATGTATGCTATACAGTTAACTATTTGGACTTGTTTTTTAGTGCCTTGAAAATCATCCTAATTAGCACTTTACTGTGCAAACCTCAATAATTTACAATCCTAGTAAAGACGTGTAAAAAGCCTCTAGATAAACAAATCCTTTATTAGAGCAATATTATCTGTAATATTTTGCAGAAAATTAATATTATTGATCGCTTCTGGCAAAGTTATTGACATAAAAAGCTGATAATACTTTGTAAAAAAGAGAAATTGCTAAGTTGTTTATAATATTTCACAATTGTTTGGAGCATACGGGAAAACATAAGGAGCAATGTTTGATCATTCCTTTTAGCTAAATGTCCTGGGATCATTCAGAGTCATCTGTCCATTTTTACTCTCCTTTCCTTAGTTTACAGCACAAGGTTGATTTTCTATCCAGTGGTCTATTTCTGTGTTATCTTTGCCCACATGTTTAAGATTATTAGTATCCAGCTGTTTTAAGGGTTTATGATGCCTTGCAGCCTTTTCTGGAATCTCAGGGCTTTTGGAAAGGGAACCGGCCCCCAGCATCACAGATCCTCTACAAGTGGTCTTTCTCGTAGTCATCCTTCAATTTTTTATGTTTAGATGTAAGACAGAAACAGCTTCATTTCTGGTAAACCTTCCAGAAAACTGGTTGCCATTAAAAAAAAAGTCTTCACACCACTGTTTTAATCTTTTGTTTTGCTCTTATTAACTTTAGTTAAATATGCTTTTTCTTTTCTTTATTCCATTTTAAAGAGTATTTTCCAGAAAATGGCTTCTGAAAATGTAGCCATATTTTCTCACAAACATGTAGGGCTGCTTTGATCTATATATGCTCAAGCTTTCTAAAACCTTTTTTTAAATCTTACTTTTGTCCGTTCACTAATTTTCAGTGCAGGACCTGAGGAATTCAAGGGCAAAGAAGTCCTTGCTGTTGTATATCATGCATTGTATATAATAATTTTTTCCATCTGCATAATTTTTACAGTATTTTACAGTAGAATAATAAATATCTTTTTGGGGGGTAAACAAGTCTAAGTCTGTGGAAGATTTAAAGGAGTTTCTGCATTCTTGCTCATCGACTATCTCCCTGTTTAACTGCATACAGAGCCAATTCCACCATCTTGTGGTCAAACCTGGTCAAACTTCGCTGACATGTTTTAAAGTGCAATCTTAAGTATCAAAAAGTGATTTCTCTCTTCCTCCCTCTTTGTCTCCATCTCCAGGATGCTGGTCCCTCTGCTGGATGATGACACTGGCCTCCTATTGCTCGCTGGCTTTGTAAGCTGTAGAATAATTCCATTGGTTTTGCTTTTATTTATAGATCAAGTTGAAATACTGTTTTATAACACTTTTCTCTTTCCTGTAGGGAGACACTGCAGTTGAGTGCTATGAAGTCTCCGCCTCTGAGCCTTTCTTAACTCAAGGTGATACTTGGGGATTTTTTCTGCATGCTTAAAGATTATTATTTCCTCTTTAAATGTTTGTTCTCTCTCTTTCTTCATTTTCTCTTAGTGAGTCACTGCCTGACTGATGCTTCAACAAGAGGCGTCGCCATGGTACCAAAACTGGCCTTGGATGTCCTGTCCTGTGAAGTCATGCGTGTTCTTCAGCTGACAGACAGCTGCATCGTGCCCATCAGCTACCAAGTCCCCCGCAAGGTACAGAATTACTGCAGAATTAAAACCGGTGAATTTCTCTCGATTTCTTGCTCTGTTTTGAAATGGATGCCCTGTTTGCTTAGAACTCAGGCCATGAATTTCATGATGACCTTTACCCGGATACGGTGGGCACGACTCCAGCCATGTCTGCAGAGGAGTGGTGGCAGGGGGGAAAAAAGCAGGTAATAGAACCTCAATCACAATAGGTGGCTATAGCCTTAAAGCTGCGTAGAAAGCTCTAATGAGGAGCTCTGTTTGTCCTAAGGTGGGAAAAGTTAGCCTGCACCCTGACAAGAAACCCAAACCCTCAGCAAAACAAGCACCAGTTAAGAAGGAGCCACCCAGTGGAGGAAATAAAGAGGTAAAACCTGGATTTTTTAAATTTTTTTTCTAAAGCAGGGAGCACATTTGAAGAATTTAAAACAATCGTCACTGTTCTGTTTTTACAGGATCAGCCTCGTGGCTCCTCCTCCAGTAGTCCAATAAGCACCCCCAGCAGCAGTGCTGCCCCATCCCGCTCTCCTTCCTCTACGTCTGGTCTCTCCTCAGGCTTCCTCCCTAGCCCAAGCCAGAATGTTAAGGCAATCCAAAACCTGATGGGTAAAAAAATGACACCAGATTTCTACCATCCATATTCTTACTTTGAAGATTTTAACTTCTTGGCTTTTTTTTGTTTAGGACCAACATCCAAATTCCGACATATCCAGGGTGCGGTGATGCACCGGGACAAGCACATCACCAACATCCGCAACCTGAATCTAACCACACCAGGAGAGTGTGACGGCTTCTGTGTGAACAGCCAACGTGTTGCGGTGCCACTCGCCATCTCAGGAGGCCAGATTGCTGTTTTTGAGGTAAAGTTTCCATCAAACCTCCATGTATCTGTTCAGAAACAAGAAATTTAAACCGTCTTTACTAGCAAAATCATTAGCCTGTATTGTTATTATGTAGCCATAATGAGATTTTTCTTTGAGATACCAGCTCATAATGCAAATATAATACACAGACATGTTCAAAACACTAAGAACAAGCATCCACAATGTAAAAACAAGCAAACAAGTATACACTGCAAAAACAATGTAGAAATAAGTAAATATTTCTTAAATTGTATGTATTAACCCTCAATTTGAGTAGGTAAATAAGATGATCTGCCAATGGAATAAGTATTTTTAATCTTGAAATGAGATAATTAGATAACATGCTGTTGAAATAAGACAATGCATTGTTTTTTTCTTAATTTAAATGTAAATTGTCTTGTTTCGTTGGCAAAGTATCACTTACTTCCTCAATTCAAGAAAAATGCACCTATTTTAAGAAAAAAATACTTATTTTGATCTACATTTTTTTTTTTGCAGTATATGGAATCAGGCATGTATTTTTGCAAAAAGTCTACGAATTGGGCTGGAAGATTCTTTTATTTTCAGCAGGGATGTTTAGTTCCTGCCTAAAGGGGGAAAATTGCCTTCAAACTGTTCCCTGAATCCTTTGTTTTTGATGCAGTTTCTGGAATCATCTTCCTGTCTGAGGTAGAATCAGCAGGGATCTATGTATTTCTAATCTGTGTCCTTCCTGGTAAATTATTGCTATTTTATGGATGGTTGAAACATGGATGTTAGTGAAAATAATGTAATGCAGTATGCTTAATATAATGTAATAGGGCCAACTGTATACAGTATTGAATGAATCGTTGTGCGGCAACTATTCGGCTCTTTATTATGATCCCTGAGATTTGTTTTTAAAAACTTAATCCTATATATTTACCACAGCATTGAAATTATTGCTTTCTGAATGCAAAACAAATACATTTAGGTTAGTTTGATGAATTTTCCTCTGTCTTATTATCAAGTATCCATGTCTTAGTATTCAGCTCAATTCACTATATTTATATAGTGCCATTTCACAACACGTCATCTCAAGGCACTTTACAATTCAACCAGATCATACAGTCAAATTGATTCAAAGTTTTCTAAGAAAAACCAGTTGATTGCATCGACTCATTGAATTAAAGGCAATCCCTCACACTACCTATAATGTGAGGGATTGCAGGTGATACTAACTATAGTATCATCTCATACAGTGAGAGCTTAACTGTTATTTTTCATCACATACATCTTTAACCAACTTAGTAAACTGTTTGGGCTCTGTTGTCAGCCTTGTGGTACGCCACAATGTCGACATGCAGATCAGAACCTCAGCAGTTTCAGCAGCTGTATTGCAGGTGGTTGAACTACAGTATAGCTTGTATCTTCCTGTAATGTTTTAAGCTGATTTTTTACTTTCCTTCTCCTCCTCAGCGCTCTGGGCCAGGGCGGCAGCCTGACTCGGCTCTACCCACCATCCAAAACTCTGTAAACGTGGCCGACTTGTCTTGGGACCCCTTTGACACACACAGACTGGCAGTGGGTGAGTGACTCCTTAATGCAAATAGAAACCTCATCCTTACAGAATAAAATGTAACTTTCAGATGTTTCATTTGCCCATAGAACCAAGAGTATGTTCTCTGAGTGTATATTTGAATCTTTGCTTCCAGCTGGAGATGATGCTAAAATCCGGCTGTGGCAGGTACCTAAAGGTGGGCTGAAAGACACCCTGACTGAGCCTGAGCTCGTCTTACAAGGTAGGTCATTTTTCATGGTGACACAAGGTCAATCTAAATTTATTTATACACTGCAAAAAAAAAGGATCTAAAGTTGAACAAAGATTTCTAAGTAAAGTGTATTTACCCTTAATTTACCCTAAATACGATTATCTATGAATGGTAAGAGTATTTTTACCCTTGAAATAAGATAATTTGATATTATGCACTTGAGATAAGAGGCTGTAGTTGTCTTTCCTTGTTTATAATGTAAATATTCTCTCTTATCTGCTCAATTCAAGAACAAATGCACTTATTTACTTAGTTTTACTTAGTAAATAAGTTACTAATTTACTTAGATTTCAACTATTTAGGCTTGTAGTGGCTCATTGAATGGGCTGAAGTTAAAAAAAAAAAAGATGAACAGAGGTATAGAGAGGGAGATGTGGATGCTACTGCAGAGATCTTGCTTTCTGACTCCCATTTCTCTGATGTCCTGCAATTTACTAAACATTTTGGATAAAACTGCACAGTCCTACTCACAGTGAATCAGGGAAGATTTATAAATTATTTTCTCAGCTACTCAGTAATAAATATCAAGTAGCAGTGATTTAAAAACATGTCCTTGACTCTTCATGTTGACAGTTGACCCAGGTTGACAGTAACTACAGTATGGCAGATTAATGTAAGGACTTCTTTTACTCCCTCTAGGTCACACTGAGAAGATTTACTCCATCAAGTTTCACCCTCTTGCCAGCGGAGTCTTGGTGTCCTCATCCTACGATCTCACAGTCAGACTGTGGAACCTGGAGAGCGGGGAGCAGGTCAAGGTTCTCACTGGACATCAGGACCAGGTTGGTCGGTGTTTTGACTGAAAATATGGACATGCAGATGTGTTTTTTATAAAGCGGAGGGAAATTTCTCATGGATGGTTTGGTTTATCCTGATGTTCCTGCTTAGGTGTTTGGAATTGCATGGAGCCCTGACGGCAAGCTGCTGGCAACTGTTTGCAAGGATGCGAAAGTTCGCATCTATGACCCCCGCAAATCGACATCACCTGTGCAAGTATGCATTAACATAAATGCTGTATGGCATGATGTTGGCAAACTAAATAAAGATTAGAAATAATAATCTAGCTTGTGTTGTAAAAAAAAACGACACTCTGCAAAAAGAAGAAATCTAAGTAAGTATTTTCTTCTTGGATTGAGCAGGTGAGACACTTTACCAGTGGAATAAGAAATTATTACCGCTATTTAAAATAAGAAAAAACAACTACAGTCTCTTATTTCAAGTGCATAATATCTATCTTATTTTAAGAGTAAAAATAATTGTTCCATTGACAGATCATTTTATTTACCCACTCAAATTAAGGGTAAATATGGTTATTATAAGAAATTTTTGCTCATTTTTAGGTGTTTTTTGCAGTGCAAACTTGACTGGAATTTTGAATATATGTAAATGACCGACAAAGCATGTAGAAATTAATTTTTTACTAATGTATATGACAAATACAAACCTGAAAAATGTGGCCTGTTTTTGTCTTAAGCTCCTTTAACTCTGATCCCAACAATAAATTCCACTTCCATGTTCTTTTAAGGCTGTTGAGGATTGTTAGAGAACCTCAGTGAACAAACAGCACAAATAAATAAAAGACAGTTCAGGGACAACATGTTTTAAAAGCAGAGTTACAGCCTTTAAAGGTATAGTTAAGCACTTTCTTTTTCCGAGTGGATCATCAAAATAAGTGGTCCTAATAGTCAATTATTCTGGTGATATGTTTACATAAGGTCGTCCTATGTGCTCGTTCCCATTTTCACTTACTGACATAGTGGGAAAATTGCAGATCTTCTTTTGGAAATTAAGCTTTTATAAGTGATGCAAACAGTAACTTTAAACAGAGTGTGCACGAGGAGAAATGGGCTTTTGCATGCTCTTGCACGCGTTTAATAGGCATTCCCTCTTGGGGCATTTTTTTTTAAGTGGAGAAGGCGGGTCTTTTCAAAAATCCGCAACAATCCTCCACTATACCTTTAATGTCTCACAGAGGACTGCTTTATAAAAGTGGTGAGATTAAAACTTAGCAGCAAACTTTCAAGATGGTAGTCGTCTATGAAAATTAGCAAGCCAGGCAATGAGGAGAAAGAAGAAACTCTGGAGGAGCTGCAGAAATCAAATACTCAGGTGAGAGAATATGTAGGCAGGACAATGGTCTTCATTAAAAAAAAAGCAAAGAGAAATCCAGATTTAGAAGAAGGTCATAAGAAGTGCCAAATGATGTAAAGGACACCTTTAGCCACAGATTTGTGGATTATCATACCATCTGAACACGGTGGAGACAGCATCATGCTGTGGGATGCTTTTCCATAATCGATGGAAAGTCATAGTCGTAGAAAAATCACTAAACAGGCTCAAATTGGAAGGCAGCCGCTCCATTTTTAGAAGATGTTTCGACAGTGCAGATTTTTTTAAGCAGCATGGAGGTCAATCCTGAGCACATTCCAGGTCAGATGCAAATCAAGTCGCCTAAGTTAGAATGAACTTAAGAAGACGCGTAAAAAAAAAAAAAAACTGAATGAAATTACGGTTGCATTCCAGTTTAAGCCTGTTTTGTGGTTATCATGAACCGGATGACTGGGAATTTACTCAGGCATCCTAGAAGAAAACCTGTTGGAGGATCTTCTTCCTGCAGAACGGAAGCCCAGAACATGGAGCCAGAATTACAATGCAGCTGTTTATGTAGATAAAAGGAAGTTCATGCTTTTAATGAGCTCATTTACTTCCATCCATTTCATTCAGTTACTTTATTATTTTACATGCACATTAATGTTGAATCCAGTTAGTAATGGTGAAGTAAAACTTAAAAACTCCCGTTCCTATCTGAGAAAATAATAGGCATGTCTTCGGGTGTGTAAAGCTGGTAGGGACAAACTTGCTGTATAATTGCAGTGAATGCCAATTCTATAATTCAAATACCTTCATGTCTACACTTGTATTCATTTTTATTTTTGTTTCTATATAAAAAAAAAACTGTTTGCAATCTCTTTCTTCTACAGACGTATGCTTTGCACTGTTTGATCTATCAAATCAACTCATGAACCAATGTTTGTGGTTGAACAGTGATAATATTACAAGATACTTGAACCCAGCACAGTTAACTAGTGTTTCAAAATACATTTTGTGTAATTTTCCCAAAATGTGAGACATTATTGTTTGAACTGTGAGACAGAAATCAGTGATTGAAAAGCTGCTTTTGTAGATATTTGGTTTACTTTGTTTTTTTCCCAGGAAGGACCGGGTCCGGAGGGCCACAGAGGGGCTCGTGTGGTCTGGGTGCTGGATGGAAAGTACCTGCTGGTGTCAGGATTTGACAGGTACTAACAGCTAAAGCTCTGTGCTTTTCCTCACACTGTGCATCATGGCTGTTTCATTAATTGTAAATTATGACCCTCCCATGTCATTTCGGTATTTAACCCCCCTTTCTTGTGTTTTTTTAGTCGCAGTGAAAGAGAACTTTACCTGTTCTCTGCTGACTCCCTGTCCTCTGGGCCTGTTGCCAGTACTGCTCTGAATGTGTCCCCCTCCACACTCATCCCTTTTTACGACCCTGACACCAGCGTCGTGATTCTCACTGGAAAAGTGAGTAAAATAAGAGATAAATTGGTGCAAAAGGCTGCAGGGTAAATCACGGCTAAAGTCTGGGGGTTTTTTTGCCCTTCTTTAGGGAGACACCAGAGTCTACATCTATGAGGTGGTCCCAGAAGATCCATATTTTATTGAATGCAGCAGTTTTAACTCTCCTGAGCCTCATAAGGTAACAAGCTTCCTTGTTTTGACCTATTAATAAGTGAATCAGTCTAAGAGGAGGAGATTAATGCGGTGCTCTGTTTGCAGGGACTGGCCTTTTTACCTAAAACCGAGTGCAACGTGCGAGATGTAGAAATAGCTGTGGGAATGATGCTCACCAAGACCACAGTGGAGCCTGTAGTCTTCAGAGTGCCCCGTGTTAAAGTGAGTCTGCAGCACCCCCTCGTGGACATTTGGAGTAATGCCCCCCCCCCCTCCCCCCTTATTTTTTCAATGAGCATCATTTATTTCCTTTTTGTCTTTCCAGAAAGAGTTCTTCCAGGATGACGTGTTCCCAGACACGGCAGTGTGGTGGGAGCCTGCACTCACCGCCGCTGCCTGGCTCTCCGGCTCCAACGGCCAGCATAAAAAGCTCAGCCTGAAGCCAAAAGACATGACGCCAGGTGCAGACGCAGACACAACACAGCTCGTCACAATCCTTTCTTTACACCGGCATGTCGGTTCTGGACATGTCCTGTTACGTTTGGTTGCTTCATGCAGGGCTGTGTTTTTATTTTAGTGAGCGAGGCCCCCAAAGAGGCTCCAGTGAGAAAATACCTCCCCTCTTCTGTTTACTTGGAGGAAAAAACAGATGAACAGAAAAAAGATGAGGTGAAACTCTGCATGTTTTTTATCTGCTTAGTTTGTCTTCAATCTGATAGCATGGACCTGCAGTATCTGAAAAAGCATGCCTGTGTCTCCCTGCAAACTAAACACTTAGTGTGTCTTTATGGTCTAGCTCCTGAGTGCCATGGTGGCTAAGCTGGGTAATATGGACGACCCGCTGCCCCAAGAGTCCTTTGAAGGTGTGGATGAAGAGGAGTGGGTGAGTAAATGGGGCAAAAAGAGCATCTCGTCATTTTTTTGTTATTTTTTTTTAAAGAAAGGCAGATCATTTATTGCAGTTTTTTTCTTAACTTGATCTCATTTTTGTCTCCCTGTGATTCAGGACGATTAAGCGGAATATCATCGTCTGATCTTTGCTTAAAGTCACAGTGTCAACGGCAGAGAGGAGAGAACAGCTCAAGATTTTATGTTGCCATTCATGTTTAAGCGCATCACCCAAACACCTTCTGAGCAGAACAAACACTGCAGCCTACGAATAAAAGAAAATTTACATTACAACTGAACTTAAAAAAAAAAACTTCTAAAAACCCCTCTGGGATAAATTCATCATTGAGTTTGAACTTAAATATTTTATCTTTTTCTGTTTAAAGACAAGGCAAACTTGGTGCTGGTGTATAAAAATGCTTTATAATGAATACATCTTGTTTTTTAGGAGCTTAAAATCAAACAGAACATTTTAGAAAATCCAACCCTTCTAGTTATTATGTTTCTTCTCTCTCAAATAGGATGGATGATCTGATCCAAGCTGAGGTTATGACGTCACCAACCTCTGTCAATCTCAAGTCGTACTAATGAGAAGTAATTTTATTCTGAACTCTACCCAGTAGACCTGAGTCCGCAGTCTGTAGTACTGCCAAAGCCACACTCTAACAGAAATGTTTTTTAAACCATGCCTACCTGGTAGACCAATACGATGCTGCACACCTACAACATATCAGCCAGGTGATTGGCTGTGATGCCCACCATAACAAATATGAACATGTGGTTCGCTAAACTCTTATGGTTGATGATTCTTTAATAGGAACTGTATTGTTTACTCAATTGGAACTAAGAATGATTTGGAATAAAATGAGTGAAAAATGACTCATTTTAAGAGCAGTGGAGGATCTATAATTCAGTAATAATAATTCACTGGGCCTTTTTCTCTTCCAAAAGCCTTGGAAACCTTATTAGAACTCATTGCATTATAATCTCTTTCAAATAATAGGATACTTTAAATAAAAGTATGGCTGCAGAATAGTGATTTAAACACATGGCTCAATGAGCACTGAAAAAGCTTAGCAGCTATGATTTAAAACGTCTATGTGAAACCTAAACTATATATGCTGCAAGCTTAGAAAATGCTACAAGAGAAGAAGTACTCTGGATCTGAACACAGAGGTCACAATAACTGGTGCTCCAATCACTAAAAAAATATATATATTTTCCATTCTGTTAGTTTTATGCTGCTGCAACTAAATTTGTATTTATTTACAACATTTTTCCACATCTTTACCAGGGGTGCCAAGAAACATGTCCATATTTGAAAATCATTATTCTGATTTGAGGAAATTATTAAATAATCGAAGCATAATCACACAAAGAAATAAATCGGAAGCATCTCAAGAATTAAATTTTCAAAGCAAACTGAATAAAAACTTCAGCCGCTCACAGCAGACCCACCTCTGATGCATGCGTCATAACATCTAGTTAATTCTATAACAGCTTGTTATAAAAATATGAAAACAAGGCCTTTTTTTGTATTTTGATTGCAAACACACAGTATTCCAATACCATTAAATCTGTTTAGCCTGAATGTTTTTATCAAAGAGGGACCACTGCTTTGCTTTATAATGGACTGTTAATATAGCACAAATTAAGACTGATTACCTTCTAGTCCGATGATGCAAACATGTTCAAGCCTCCTATACCACCTTCAGCTTCAGGAAATGACAGCATCGCCATGGTGCTTTTCCTCAGTAAATCTCTTATATTAGTAATAACGGGTTTCATTCCTTTTAAATCCAACATATAAATCCAATTCTAACATGGTAGGTGTTATGTTTTAGAATATTTAGCTTTTTATTAACTATTTTGCCATTAAGGGATGTGGGTAAGACAAGAACAATGATCTTTATATTCCAATTAGGCTTCTTATGCTTTTACTTAACTTTTCCCTTTTATTTGCTGGTTTTCTAATGTTTTTAACTTTGATCCATGTCCATGTGTATATTCTTGGGGAATATTTGTCTTTTAATGGGATATTTGTAACGAATCAGGGTTTTTAGTTAGACAAACAGCTCAGTGTTAGTAAGTTTGAGTGAAGCCAACATTGTGTAGTCGTCACTCAGGGCAGAGTAGAAACTGTTGAAAATAATTGTTTACATCCTAAGGACGACTTTCTGGAATTAGTGATGCATTTTCTTGCCTGTCGCATTAAACACATGTACGGTGGATGTCCCTGGAAGTATGTAATTGTGATTTTTAAAGATCTGTTTTATGCTATCATTTGATTAACTCGCCTTTGGATTTGTTTTTTATGGCAAGTAAAACATTGTGGTTTTCTTTCTATAGTAATGGTTTGTGAACTTTTTCAAGACTGTCTTGTAATAAACACCATATAAACTGATCACCTGTGTATTTAACTAATTATAGTGAGCAATGCTGCTGTATTTATGGCAGTCATGTAAATGTTTATGTTGGACAATATTTTTTTATTGAGTTTAGTATATAGTAATTATATATTTGGAGCTTAACTATTTTAGAAGTTACTTATTATTATTATTTAGAAGTACTTTTTATTTGTTTAACCAAAAGAGTTGGGTAGCACTGCCTTTCAAGACATAAAAAAGCAAAACATATATAAATAAAATAAAAAAATCGTGGAAGAACCAAGTGGACTCATGAAAAAGTGCTACCATGAAAAAAAATCTAGACAGTTTTTTTTTTTTTATTGGAGGATAAAGACACATTGACAGCATGGAAGAGGATTAGGGCCACTGGAAAAATAGGAAAAAAACGTCTTGAAAACTGATTTTCAAATATTATTTCATTATAATATGAGAAAAAGTCAGAATTCTGAGATTAAAGTCAGAATTGTGAGAAAAAGTCAGAATTGTGAGATCAAAGTCATAATTCTGACTTTTTCCTCATAATGAAATAACATTTTAAAATCAGTTAACTTTTTTTTTCAGTGGCCCTAATCCTCTTCCGTACTGTCACATGTGTCTTTATCCTCCAATTAAAAAAACAACTGGCATGATAAGTAGGTAAGTAGTACCAGAAGAAGAGACCAGACACTAAGATATAACATTCTCTAGAGCGCAATGGAACTGACATACGGAAGATGATTAAGGGGAATGAATAAAATATATAAAAAAGTTGACGGATTTTTTATTTTATTTTATTTCAGTTTAATGTGGGAAAAAAGTCGGAATATAACTTTAGACTCAGAATTCTGACTTTTTTCTCAGAATTTTGGATTATATATTTTTTTTTTTCTTCTCCCAGCTGGAATCTTGAAAGTCACGTGACTAGGACGTAAAACAATAGAAAGCATATAGGCAGAAGAAACGTAACAGTACCACAAAAAAATGGCCATTAATGTACTGTACCTCCACTACGTTTTGCAGTGTGGACCAACGTAGTGGGGGTACATTTTCCCATGAGACTGGGTTGCTCTAGAATCAAACAGCAAAGCTGCACTAACCTTCCCCGCCAGCAGGGGGCGGTGTTTAAAATTCCACCACCTGCAGCTGAACCGTCTCGAATGTTGCGATTCCGAGCTTCCTTGAACTATGCCCCGGTAACCTTCAGTGTCCATGTGTGAAACCGGGAGTCGGCATTTCGGCTGTGGAAGGAGTTCATTACTGTAAAAATGGTAAGATGATGCTATTACATTAGAGTGTAGTGTGTTTATCTACGGCGTTAAGAACGTTTTGATAAAATTATATGGGTTTTTAGTGCTAGAATGTCTGTAATTGACTTTACATAACATAACGCCTGCTGTCAAAGAGCTTCTGAGGTTGATGTGTTGACTTCAGGCTGTTGGCATTGTCAGTTACTATGTTTATTTTATCATCTTTCAGGCTAAATACCTCGCTCAGATCGTAGTGATGGGTGTTCAGGTGGTAGGACGAGCTTTCGCCCGGGCGTTACAGCAGGAATATGCAGGTATGTTATTTTGATCGCAGTCCAATGTCTGCGATCTGACTGTTATTTAAACTCTTTAAACACTCATTGGTGACAGCTGTGGTCAAAACTTAAGAGAATGGAGAGAAAAAAAAAAACCTTAACTTGCGGGTTTGAGAGATTTTATTTCTTTTTTTTTTTTTAATACACTGTGTGCAGAATTATTAGGCAAGTTGTATTTTTGAGGATTATTTTTATTATTCGACCACAATTGTGTTCTCAATCAACCCAAAAGACTACTTAATATCAAAGTTTCATATTTTTGGAAGTTTAAGTTTTGGGGTTTTTTGTTTTTTTTTAGATTTGGCCATATTATGAGGATAATCTGTGAGTACAGGTAAATATTGTGCAGAATTAGGCAACGTCATAAAAAACAAATATATACCCATCTCACTTGTTTATTTTCACCAGGTAAAACCAATATGACAAGTCAAAATTCAGAAATAAACATTTGCAACATTCAAAAACAAATCAGTCACCAATATGGCCTTTCTTCACCATGACGCTCAAAATCCATCCATCCATAGATTCTGTCAGTGTCTTGATCTGTTTGAGATCCACATTGCGTGCAGCAGCCACCACAGCCTCCCAGACACTGTTCAGAGAGGTTCACTGTTTTCCCTCTCTGTAGATCTCACATTTCATGAAGGACCACAGGTTCTCCATGGGATTCAGATCAGGTGAACAAGGGGGCCATGTCACTACTTAGACGTTTTCTGGCCAGCCAGGCTGTGGTGTATTTTGATGCGTGTGACGGAGCATTGTCTTGCATGAATATCATGTTTTTCTTGAATGATGGCGACTTCTTCTTGTACCACTGTTTGAAGAAGGTGTCTTCCAGAAACTGGCAGTAGGTCTGGGAGTTGATCTTTACTCCATCATCAACCCAAAAAGGTCCCATAAGCTCATCTTTGATGATACCAGCCCATACCAGTACCCCACCTCCACCTTGCTGGCGTGTGATTTGATAAGGAACTTGCTGCCCTTTACTGATCCAGCCTGGTGCCCATCCATCTGGCCCATCAAGACTCACTCTCATTTCACCAGACCCAAACACCTTGGAGAAATCAGTCTTCAGATATTTCTTTGCCCAAACTTGACGTTTTGTCTTGTGTGTCTTGTTCAAAAGTGGCCTTTTCTCGGCTTTCCTTACCTTGGCCAGATCCCTGAGTATTGAGCACCTTGTGCTTCTCGGTACTCCAGACATGTTGCAGCTCTGAAAAATGGCACAACTGGCGGCTAATGGCTTCCTGGTAGCCTCATGCTTGATCCTTCTCAATTCATG